AACCTCTAGCCTTTCGGTTCATGGCCGAGAGTGAGCCATTGCACGTCCCAGGGGCTTCAGACAAACACCAAGCACCACGAAAGGTCCTGGGAGACCGACAGCCACTGAACAGGGAGGCCCACCCCTGCAGGAGTGCTGGTGTCTACCTTTGGGCTCCTGATCAACACTGACCACCGTGGGTCACTCACCTGTCAGTGTCATACTGTGTGGCTTGTGTGTTGCTATCAGGCTGGAGGCTATGCCACTGGTATTTCACATACCAGCAGGGTCACCCATCTTGGACATGTTTCAGCTGAGCTGAAGAAGAAAAGGGCCATCTACTTCTCAAAGAATTGGCAAGTGAAAACCTAATGAAAAACAGTGAAACACTGTCTGATGTAGTACTGAAAATCACCCTTGAGTGGAGAGTAGCTAAAACAAATGCAAGAAATGACAAGATAAAAGAGCTGAACAGAAGACTTCAAAGAGCAGCTCGAGCAAAGCCAATTACTATAATGAAATGTGCAAAGAACTGGAGTTAGAAAACCAAAAGAGACGAACACACTTGCATTTCTCAAGCTCAAAGAACTGAAGAAAAAATTCAAGACTCAAATTGCCATATTGAAAGATCCTATGGGAAAAATATTGAACAATATCATTAATATCACACACAAGTAAAGTCGTGCTGAAGAGAATTAAAAAAATGGTTGTAGCAGTATATTGACAGGGAACTTCCAGAAATTCAAGCTGGATTCAGAAGAGGACATGGAACGAGGGATATCATTGCCGATCAGATGGATCTTGGGTCAGAGCAAAGAATACCAGAAAGATGTTTACTTGTGTTTTATTGACTATGCAAAGGCATTCCATTGTGTGGGAGTCATAACAAATTATGGGTAACATTGAGAAGAATGGGAACTCCAGAATATTTAATTGTACTCATGAGCGACTGGTACATAGCCCAGGAGGCTGTCATTCAAACAGAACAAGGGGACACTGCATGGTTTAAAATCAGGAAGAGAGTGCATCATGGTTGTATCCTTTCACCATACTTACTCAATCTATATGCTGAGCAAATAATCTGAGAAGCTGGACTATATGAAGAAGAATGTGGCATCAGG